AAGTAGGTCAGAGGTCAGGTCAAGGTCAGGTCAAGTGTACAAAATGCAAGTTTCTACAGTATCGGCCTTGCACCGTAGTTGCCGAAGAATGGACTGAGACTGATTGCCCAAAACGTGTTCTTAGACTACCAAGACAATATTCGTTGCATACAATGTCATTCAAAGGTCAAGGTCAAGGTCAAGGTCAAGGTCAGGTCAGGTCAGGTCAGGTCACCAAAAACAAAATATAGTAAAGGGCATGTGCGACACATGTTTTATGGGTCATTTTACTCATAGAATTCAATAGGCACACTCAATAAGTGATATGGACCACCTCTGGATGAATTTCAGGTCGAGGTCAGGTTAAGGTCAGGTCAAGTGAGGTCAAATTTTGAAGTTGGTTTTTAAGGCCTAAAAAGGTGTCTATCTGATGCAGTTTTTCACGGCGAATCGAATGGTGCTATTTTTGTTTCCGTACGAGGTCTAGAACTTCCAAAAAAATCATTTTTCAAAATTTTTGTGTGTCGTGACGTCATAAAATTTTGAATAACTCCCACATTTTTGAACCGATTCTTCTAAAAATTGGTATGTAGGTGCACATAGACCACTTCTCTGACATATATTCCGGTTTTTTCGATACACTCAAAATTTTGAATTTTATTATTATTTTCCAAAAAAACTCAGTTTAAAAAAAAAATTGTGCCAAAATCCAAAATTTTCAAAAAACCGAGATAGCCATTTGATAGACAAAGTGGAATCACGCATAACCTTTTTTGTTACGTCTTGATTCCTTTAAAAATGAAGATGTTAGCGGCGTTTGAAATTTTGCCGTTTTTGAGGCGAAAATGGCGAACATGACGTCACTAAAACGTCAATTTCTCAAAAAATTTCCGACGGATTTCGCTCAAATTTTCAGGGAACGTGTCAAATTGATGTATGATAAGGTACCGAAAGTTTGACGTCGCTGGCGTAACGCGTTTAGAAGTTATTGGCGAAAAACGGGAGGGGGGCAGATTCTGCCTCCCCCCCCCCCCAGCGGGGCGCGGGTTAAGACTTAAGAGACGGTTTTTTCATATCAATTATTTTACATAAAATCATATTTCAAACCACAAATAATGTTCGACAGCCAAATAAAAGAAACAATACCAATACAGGCTTACAGTTTAAGGCTCGACATTATGTTGTCTACGATTAGACAGCTGATAACTCATTCCCGTACGTCGTAACTCTATAATGACCTTTGCTTATTGTCACATGTGCGCCACATTCGCGATTGTTGCCGACGCCTGTTTGCAGGTCAGCCCACTACAGTTGTTATACATATCGAAAAACCGATAAACTTTTAGGCGAAAAAGGCACTATTCCAGGCCCATTTTTGATTTTTTTGCGATATTAGGTAAAAACAGAAGCTTCTTATCCTAGGAAAAATAAAATGGGAAATCTTTCAAAGGTGGCACACTACCTTTAAAGAGAGACACAATTAGTGGCGGCATACATTCAGGGATAAGTAGACATTGACGAACTGTTTTTAACACCGCGATTTTATGCTGTAAGGCAAGATCTCCACGCTAAGCCAGTCTGTGAGCTTCGCGACCTGCGTTACGCTGTGCAAATTTAACTATTTTTCCTATTCTCTTCCCTTGTGTCACATTACAATTTCCCCAGAGAGCCATGCAAAAGCGAATATGAGGAAGAACAAGGGCATTGACTAGGTGGACAATTACTTTTAAAGGGACACTCCCACCTTAACATTAGTTTTGAGTTGAGATAGCCAAATTGGTGGCCATGGCCTGCAAATACCGGTTTGGGCACTCACAACATCAAAAAATGCTTTAATTCGAAGATATGGAATTTCAAACTTGCAGTTTTGGGATTCTAAGGGGCTAATGCATTGGAATGCCCCCTTAGAATTTGTGACGTCAGCGGAGATCTAACGATTTTTAAATCTAGACTAAAACCATCGTTAACATGTGGTGGTATACGCTGCTTTGCGCGCAACGTCTGCCGCACTTTAAGGCTGCCAAATTATTGCTTCCAAATAAAGTCGCTAGTAACAGGGGAGATCCCAAAAAGTAAACAAAAGTAAAAGCCTAATATCTTGAAAACCAGTGAATATTTTTCGGTGAAATTTGGTAGATATTCGTTTTCGCTCTTTCTGAACCAAGGGACATCACTTTCATGCCAATTCATTAACTTTTTTGAAGGTGGGAGGGTCCCTTTAAGGGCATCACGCGACGAAGTTGGCCCAATCGAAAGATCTGAAAATCACTCTGAAAGACGGCTAACATGGCCTCAAGTTCGCTTTTCTGCGGCGGTGTAGCTCTATTCACTGTCGAGTTCTACGGAGATTTGTCAAAAACGTTGAAATAGCTGAACTTTGACCTTTAATGATCCCTGGTTACCTAACATTTGATCTAACCTAAAAAATGACCGGTATAATATCGTCATTATTTTTCACGCTTTTTCGAACGCCGCCTACCGCTTGTCACTTCGTGGTCCAGGAGTCAAGTTAGAATGGGGTGTTCATTGTGCCCCCCCCCCTTCCTTCCGACAGGGCGTGAAAATCCAGTAGCCCCAGCAGGGCGCGGGTTAAAAATGCATTTTGGAAGCCGCTCGAATTTTCGTTTGATGAAGTCAAAATTTGCCGTGTCGGCTAGTAAACCGAGCTTGTAACGTCATCAGGGGGCTCGATCTTTTTTTACTACAGATGATGCCAAATTAATGATTGGGTTGCGATTGGGGTGACATTGATCATTGGTGACTGATATAATTGGTACTGAATATTTCGCGCTTCTATCTCTAAGTGCTTAAAGTGCGCCAAGTGTTCTTTTGTAATAGGTTTAACTTTTAAGGAAGCTATCACAAATAGCTATTGGTTAGAGCGTGCGAGCTAGTCTAAAATAGGTATTAGTCTTGCCGGCGCAGGGGAAGGGTAGTGTTTTTGCGATTGCTCCGAACACTCTGGCGATAGAGGACTAAAAGCTGGCACGCATGACGTTTGATTCAAGCCAGATCTTGGAACACCAACTGATTTTTCAGGTCAGGTCAGGTCACTGTCCTAGGTATGAAGTGTGAAGTCATAAGTGAACATGATTCTAAAATGTCGCAACTTTGCAACGCCCACAGACCACAATGCCAGAATAGCTTTCACAGAGAGATGAAACTTACAAGACCTAACCCGCGCCCCACTGGGGTCTGTGTATAACACGCCCCACTGGGGGGCGGGGGGGGGGGGCTATTCATAGCCCCCTCCTAGCTCCGAAACTACTGGGCCGATCGCAAAATTCAAACGGCATCTGATAGTCCCGGAAAAACTGTCGAGCGAAACCTAATTTCATTGACCTCGAGCTCACCGATGACGTCACAGGTAGGTCAGGTCAAAGTAAAAATTATCGATATTTGGCTTGTTCACTTTTGGGGCTCTGGCTGCAGTCTTACAAGTCAGATCAGGCTGATTTTTGGTTTACACACTCGTGAACAGATGCTTTAGATACCCTGAGGGAACCAAACTTGTACTTTGATTTTCAGGTCAGGGTCAGGTCATCATAGGTCACGGAAATCTTATGTCATAGGTCGGTCACGTGACACATGTTTTATGGTCCATTTAGGCCATAGATGTTGAATTCGGTGTCACCTGTGTCATTTGAGGCCATTTTCATCTGAATATAGCTAAGGTCAGGTCACTTTCAGGTCAAAAAAAGGTCAAATTTCAAAGTTGAAATTTTTCAACAAAAAACATGTCTATCGGATGCAGTTGGAGCTCAGGAACACGATGGTGCTATTTATATTGGTGGACGATGTCAAAAACGTACCGAAAATTGATTTGAAAAACTTATAATTGTGATTTTTTGCAATAATGCGTAGGTATAGGTAACTTGGCCATTTTTTAAGATACTTAACTAAAACTTGCTAGAATAAGTCATAACCATGTGTACTATCACATACATTCCGGTTTTTCGAAAAGTCAAAAAAATGAAAATATATTTTTTTTAAATTATATAATATATATGATTTTTAAAATTTCCAAAATTCTAAAATCCGAGAAAAAGTTTGATAGCGCAGTCTATTCTGAGCCCTCTCATGCAAAGAAATTGGATCTAGCTTAAAAACTGAGCTCTTGGGAGCGATTGCCGTGTTTTAATGTTTTGCGTCGAAATCGGCCGAACATGACGTCACTCTGACGTCATTTCCGACCGACCTATGGTAGTTACGAAGTTCGTATTTTGACACACGGTGTCAAATCGATGCAGCCGAAGGTACTAAAATTTTGGCGTCGATACGTCAAGCGGTTTGGAAGTTATTGCAGAAAAACGGGAGGAGGGCTATGAATAGCCCCCCCCCCCTCCAGTGGGGCGCGGGTTAAGCATCCTCCAAAGGTTCGGCGAGGGTTAAAGACTAAAATCATCAGCGCAGGCATGAGGACTGGAGACAAGAAAAAGTAGATAAATAGCAATACCTATGTCATCGCCTACATGACTATAGGCATGCAAGCTCAGGCTTAGGCAGCGATCCCAAAGATGTCAGCACATGCGGGGACGCGTTGTTCGGGCCGGGCATCAGTCGAGCCTTTTCATCATAAGACGAGCAGCAATGACGCGTATGCGAAAAAAACAATACAGCGAACACTTCCCGGTAACGGACGCCGATTTTACCGGCGATTTTATCACTTGGAATTGCGAATCTCATTCTTCACATAAAAAATATATCAGCACACCCACCCGGGCACAGAGACTGAAGTGTCGTGTATTGTCAATCGCAGAAGGAGTAGAAGGAGGATAATATTCCCCATTCGACTCACAGGGTACCTTGAGCATTCAGCATGCCCTGACGCAGTCTTTGCACGTGGGCATAAAGACTGAAATATTGCGGATTGACAATCGCAGAAGCAATACAAGAAGGATAATATAACTACCTCATTCTACCAACAGGGCAGGTAACTTGAGCATACATTCGGAATAACCTGACGCCATTCCAACGACGAGGGCGGCTGTCGGCCGGATGTGCGCGCATCGGCCCCTTACCAGATGACGATGCGGGTCAGGTACATCATCGCCTCCGACATGGCCGTGAAGAACTGCAGCAGGATCTCGCCCTGCTTCTTCATCATGCTGATGACGATGCCGAACACGATGGCGAACACCACCAGTCCGATGATGTTGGAGCCCTCGCGGTAGTTGCCTGAGATCTTGAACATCTCCTTGGGCATCTCTGAACGGGAGCATTTCGGAGCCCGGTTAATCATATACAGGAAGTTTAAAATACTGCAATTTTTAACATCTCCCGTTCCTTAATTATATGACCCTACGTCATATAAATTCATCAGATATAGTGTCAATGTGATGCTATTTTATGCTTCGGAAGTACAAGTTTCTAAGCTGAATATGTTTTTAAATCAGAAAAAAATCAAAAACTCATTTTTGTCATTTAACAATATGGTACGTAACACTCTGCTGACAACTTCACTAGGAGTTCCCTTTTTTCCGTGTTGCACCCAGCAACATGTTCAGCGATGGCATACCGCAGCTATTACAGAGATCAAAAACACCATATAGAACGGACCAAGGCCCAAAAACATAAGGTTGGTCGAAGTTTTCTACCAACAAAAATCCAAAAGGTTATCCCCAACAACAGTTTCCGCTCAATTCTACACCAACGTGCTCAAAAATGACAAGAAAATATCGAATGGTTCTCATTTTATATCGATTTAGCTAGATCGGCGCACACCGTATCAAATCGCCCCATTCGTACCTATTGGTATTTTCTAAACACTGTACATAGGTAGATATAAATGAAATAACCACACTTAGGCTTTCGAATCGATTGATCAAGTGTGCGCGAATTGTTGTCATGTGCGCGTGTCATCATTTTGAAAAAGAGCATCATCATGTCATTAATTTCGTATGCCGTGCTCTCGTTGCCTGCATTTTCTTCAAAGCTTTGATAAGGGATAGAGATAATCCGAAACTGTCAGCTTTTACAAGCGAATGCATAACGATCGATCAACTCCGAGGTGTGGCTTCAGGCTTGTGATAATTATTCAATGATTCAGGCCATTGGCACATTTTTTTATTTAACTATGTAAAACTTTTGATGAAAAACGCAAATACATAGACATTGAAAGCAAAGGGACAAAGGTTTTGAGAATAGGTCTGAAAATAACTACCAGTCAAGCTAAGCATCGGCGCTTTATTACAGGAATATCAAACAGCGAGAGCAGAGACTAAGAGGAGAACAAGAGAGTGGGAGAGAACAGGAGCAAAACCGAGTGCAAATAAAAACAAACGTAAAGCGAGGCAACGTACCAGCGGAGTCATTGCCGACCTTTTCACGGTAGGCGGCCAGCTCCTCGTCGGTGGGTCGGGTCAGCAGCGTCTGGTACTGGAACACAACGAGCGACAGTCAGCAGCGTCTGGTACACAACGAGCGACAGTCAGCAGCGTCTGGTACAACGAGCGACAGTCAGCAGCGTCTGGTACAACGAGCGACAGTCAGCAGCGTCTGGTACAACGAGCGACAGTCAGCAGCGTCTGGTACAACGAGCCAGTCAGGTGTAACGAGCATAGCAGCGTCTGGTACAACGAGCGACAGTCAGCAGCGTCTGGTACAACGAGAGACAGTCAGCAGCGTCTGGTACAACGAGCGACAGTCAGCAGCGTCTGGTACACAACGAGCGACAGTCAGCAGCGTCTGGTACAACGAGCGACAGTCAGCAGCGTCTGGTACAACGAGCGACAGTCAGCAGCGTCTGGTACAACGAGCGACAGTCAGCAGCGTCTGGTACAACGAGCCATAGTCAGCAGCGTCTGGTACAACGAGCGACAGTCAGCAGCGTCTGGTACAACGAGCGGCAGTCAGCAGCGTCTGGTACAACGAGCGACAGTCAGCAGCGTCTGGTACAACGAGCGACAGTCAGCAGCGTCTGGTACACAACGAGCGACAGTCAGCAGCGTCTGGTACAACGAGCGACAGTCAGCAGCGTCTGGTACAACGAGCGACAGTCAGCAGCGTCTGGTACAACGAGCGACAGTCAGCAGCGTCTGGTACAACAGCGACAGTCAGCAGTTTTGAGGATGGAGATGCTAGTACTGAGCATTGTGTTACATATGATGATGAAGATGATTAGCCAGATGCTCATTATTTAGGATCAAAATTGATAGAATAGTTGTATTACGTTTCACCCACGGGGCTTCTTCGGATACATATAGGTAAATTCAACAAATAGAACACAGAGATGCAGGCCAAGCTCAGACACAAATCATGCGCATGCAATAAATCGTGAAAGGATTAACAGATATCTTGAGATTTAGACGAATAATAATTTTAAGATCGACCCCTAAGTGCGTACTGCGCGCTATTATTTGTCTTTGTTAATAAATACGTATACCTATTTAACAGTCGACAACACAATACGTACTACGCGAATTACGCTATCATTCCATCTCAGAATTCGTACTACGCGCACACTAATACATACACATCATTCTAAATCACAGCTAACAATGACCTATAATACCCAATCATAATCAGTGTTCGGCGGTACAGCATATCTACAGGCGCTGCCTACTGGAGCCATCTGTTAGACACGAAAGGAACTACTGCTACTATGTAGGTATCGGTGTCATATAACGCTACCAACAGAACAAGCCAAGGAACAAGCGCTAATGTGCATATGATGATGTGTAGGGAACTGGATGGAGTAAGCGCCATGATGATGTGTTTTTGTTAAGTGCTGGTTTTTTGTTTCTTATCTCAATTGATTCAGTTATTAAAAGGTTCGCTTCGTCCTTGCATCTATGAAGAATAGAAATTTCGAAGTCAGTGTTCATCGGTTGTGCTGTGGGGTGTGCTGTCAGTATATGATCACCTAGGTCAGTACCTTTCCTTTTGTTCCTAGCGTCTCCCAAGTGTTCCATAAATCTAGTCCTCACCATGCGTTTAGTTTTACCAATGTATGTATCTCCACACATTTTACATTTAATCTCATACACAACGTTTTTGGTATGGCATCTACCTTTGAGGCCACCCTCACACGTACTGCAAGTCTTACGACACCCCCTGGGACAATCAGGGGGTTGCAGTGCAGACGAGGTCAGTTGATTTGAGAGTGTAGGTCCGCTTTTCCACGCAACTCGAATATCCAAATCTGAGGACTTCACTGCTGCGTTGACTTTACGTGTGAGGGTTTCGTCAATGTAAGGTAGAGATATGTAGGTAATATTGGGAGAAGACTTTTTCTTTTGAGATTGTTTGTTTTTATATCTGATTGCGTTTTGTATGTTACGAATCAGTTTAATCGGATAGCCGCTGGAAATGAATATGTCCGTTATTTTTTGTAGACCCCGGTCCTGTGCTGCTTTATCAGACCCCAAACGAACAGCTCTAAGCGACTGAGAGTGTATGAGGCTCCTTTTGGTCTGCATAGGGTGGCTGGAGTCAAAATGTAATATGATAGGGGCTGCTGATGGCTTAACATAAAGTTCTGTGGTGTATGCTCCTGAGGGTTCTACAGTGATTAGTGTATCAAGGAAGGGAATTTGTCTTTGTGACGAGAGATCGGTGCGTTCGAAGCTGAATTTTAGACAAGGATGGAAGCTATTAATGAACTGTATGTATTCATCTAAGTTTTGCGAGCCATGGGTCCAAATACCAAAAATATCGTCGATGTATCTAAGGTAAAGTGCAGGTTGTAGTCTATCCGATGCTAGTATGCGTGTTTCTACTGCGTTCATGAAGAGGATAGCCAGGGGAGGGGCTATACGGCTTCCCATAGCTTCCCATAGCATAAATGCAAGGGATTAGTCCTTTTGGAGAAATCAGAGTACGTACACAAGACTGAAACTATAGTGAATGATTATCAGCCCATTGACAAAAATCCAACCAAAAAACTAGACGTCGAGACTTCTGACCTCATCACCGAGACTTTGGCAGGTAAACTACCCGACAAAATCATACACGCTCTAAAACCTAACGAGTCACGCACGGCAGAACTTTATGGACTTCCGAAAACACACAAACCAGGCAACCCGATGAGACCCATAGTATCAGCATGTGGGGACCCAGTTGACAAGCTCTCGTGGTTCCTAGAGAGAATAATCACCCAGCTTCTGATCCTAGTACCAGCCCACTTAACTAACACCTATGACTATTTGCAACACCTGAGCACTCGATTCCCTTCTGGCCTCCCACCCGGTGCCATCGCATTCACAGTAGACGTGAACAATCTCTACGGTAACATCCCCACAGCAGAAGCGATAGAGGCGACTATAGCTATGCTACGTACCCACTCGTCAAAGGTGAACTTATATGGTCTCACCATCCCTGATGTGAAAAAATTACTTGAGCACTGTCTGGAAAACAACTATGTACGCTTCGGTACAAAATATTACAAGCAAACCCAGGGGATAGCTATGGGAAGCCGTATAGCCCCTCCCCTGGCTATCCTCTTCATGAACGCAGTAGAAACACGCATACTAGCATCGGATAGACTACAACCTGCACTTTACCTTAGATACATCGACGATATTTTTGGTATTTGGACCCATGGCTCGCAAAACTTAGATGAATACATACAGTTCATTAATAGCTTCCATCCTTGTCTAAAATTCAGCTTCGAACGCACCGATCTCTCGTCACAAAGACAAATTCCCTTCCTTGATACACTAATCACTGTAGAACCCTCAGGAGCATACACCACAGAACTTTATGTTAAGCCATCAGCAGCCCCTATCATATTACATTTTGACTCCAGCCACCCTATGCAGACCAAAAGGAGCCTCATACACTCTCAGTCGCTTAGAGCTGTTCGTTTGGGGTCTGATAAAGCAGCACAGGACCGGGGTCTACAAAAAATAACGGACATATTCATTTCCAGCGGCTATCCGATTAAACTGATTCGTAACATACAAAACGCAATCAGATATAAAAACAAACAATCTCAAAAGAAAAAGTCTTCTCCCAATATTACCTACATATCTCTACCTTACATTGACGAAACCCTCACACGTAAAGTCAACGCAGCAGTGAAGTCCTCAGATTTGGATATTCGAGTTGCGTGGAAAAGCGGACCTACACTCTCAAATCAACTGACCTCGTCTGCACTGCAACCCCCTGATTGTCCCAGGGGGTGTCGTAAGACTTGCAGTACGTGTGAGGGTGGCCTCAAAGGTAGATGCCATACCAAAAACGTTGTGTATGAGATTAAATGTAAAATGTGTGGAGATACATACATTGGTAAAACTAAACGCATGGTGAGGACTAGATTTATGGAACACTTGGGAGACGCTAGGAACAAAAGGAAAGGTACTGACCTAGGTGATCATATACTGACAGCACACCCCACAGCACAACCGATGAACACTGACTTCGAAATTTCTATTCTTCATAGATGCAAGGACGAAGCGAACCTTTTAATAACTGAATCAATTGAGATAAGAAACAAAAAACCAGCACTTAACAAAAACACATCATCATGGCGCTTACTCCATCCAGTTCCCTACACATCATCATATGCACATTAGCGCTTGTTCCTTGGCTTGTTCTGTTGGTAGCGTTATATGACACCGATACCTACATAGTAGCAGTAGTTCCTTTCGTGTCTAACAGATGGCTCCAGTAGGCAGCGCCTGTAGATATGCTGTACCGCCGAACACTGATTATGATTGGGTATTATAGGTCATTGTTAGCTGTGATTTAGAATGATGTGTATGTATTAGTGTGCGCGTAGTACGAATTCTGAGATGGAATGATAGCGTAATTCGCGTAGTACGTATTGTGTTGTCGACTGTTAAATAGGTATACGTATTTATTAACAAAGACAAATAATAGCGCGCAGTACGCACTTAGGGGTCGATCTTAAAATTATTATTCGTCTAAATCTCAAGATATCTGTTAATCCTTTCACGATATTTATTGCATGCGCATGATTTGTGTCTGAGCTTGGCCTGCATCTCTGTGTTCTATTTGTTGAATTTACCTATATGTATCCGAAGAAGCCCCGTGGGTGAAACGTAAGACAGTCAGCAGCGTCTGGTACTGGAACACAACGAGCGACAGTCAGCAGCGTCTGGTACAACGAGCGACAGTCAGCAGCGTCTGGTACAACGAGCGGCAGTCAGCAGCGTCTGGTACAACGAGCGACAGTCAGCAACGTCTGGTACACAACGAGCGACAGTCAGCAGCGTCTGGTACAACGAGCGACAGTCAGCAGCGTCTGGTACAACGAGCGACAGTCAGCGCGTCTGGTGCAACGAGCGACAGTCAGCGCGTCTGGTACTGGAACACAACGAGCGACAGTCAGCAGCGTCTGGTACAACGAGCGGCAGTCAGCGCGTCTGGTGCAACGAGCGACAGTCAGCAGCGTCTGGTACAACGAGCGACAG